AAAATCAGTACTAAGGACAAAAATCTGCACTCAGCCAGACCAAATCTTAATTAGACGTAAATTCTTGAGGTTTTCCATTAGTTGTGACGACAACGTTGCTATGTGACAGCGATAATGACGTAAGTAGCTAGAGAGGATGTCTATTAAACGGTTGACCCACAAGTTGTTTCTTGTCAATGCACATGCATGTACAGTATTTGACTCGCAATCACTTCGCAAAACACAGAAACAACAAAGCATCGAATAGGTTGCAGTATGGTATCATTGTTACCCTCTTATGACATACTATCGCCACAGAACTATGCAATATCCATCTATGATCGTCTGAGGGTCCCATCAAAGGGAATGCTTGACACAGGCGGTCAAAGTCCTATGAACGTTCCCGTCTACGTCACTATAAGATTCGATGCGTAGTCTGTGGAGCAATTCCTCTACAGAAATTCGATCGCGAGTCCATACTTCATACAGCACGTTAAGTAGACCAGCAGCGGGTAAATGAAATGCTATCGAGTTGTTTTCTTTTAAAGCTGCTGAGGCCATGGCTGAGCAATAATGCAGAGTAACTATCATCGGTGTGGAATTGTCAAAGCTTGACCAGATGAAGTCGGTCAAAGTCTCTAATTTATAAAGAGCACTGTATAGGCTGTCGGCATTGTCAAACTTTAACAGGTCAAAAACTTCCCGCAACTTATACGAATTTGCTATCCAATAATTAAGTCGCTCATGACACATTGTCGACGCGATTTCTTTCGAGTGCGGTTCCATCCTCGCTTTTGCCAGCGCTTCTGTCACATCGACTACTTCGTATGTCGACAAAAACTTCTCAATTGCCAAATGATTGCGACTTGGAAAAACTTCAGCAGTGTATCCATGAAAAATCTCCAATTTCCCGCTCGTCAATGCGTCATATGCATCGGGGCCGAATTGAAGTCGGCGCCACACTGATTTAGGTGACGATTTTCTCCACCGGTGAAGTAATCGCGCTTTCAGGGATTGAACAATGTCAATGGCGTTAGGTTCTAGGTGACGTTTCGCCTCGTTAATCTGCTGCACTAAGTTGCCATCTCCATCAAAATAAGGCGTCAAAATTCTCAACAATACGTCCCAACTGTAGGAACCTTTTTTTCTACTGTGCGAAACAGTGTACCACAATAGTTCGTCAAACTTTCCATTGCGTATCGCTTCGCTAAGATTGTCGACGAATTCCAGAAGTTGAAAAAAATTGGAAGGTGATTTATATATATTTTTCATCAGCATAATGTCCCTATGGTGCCGTGCCAAGTGCGTCATCATGGGCAATTTCTTGCCATTTGCGCTCGTTGCCAGGTGATATAACCTGTTATTCACATCTTTGTCACTGAACCTTTCTCAAAGTGGCGCGACCGGCGAGAGTCTATTTTGGTGTTTGGCATCACGATTGTACTTCGCGCAAAAGTCGACCAATCCTTCCATCTCGGTACTCGTCAAAGCAGAGTCGAGGTCTAGATGCTCATTTAAACTCGTCACGTAAGCGTTGTAATCTGCTGGGACTGATCTTTTCACCAGTGCATGTACGGCATCAGACATCTTGCCGAGCAAAGGACCATTAGCTCGCTCTTCGACATCCTTGTCCGTTGTCTTGTGAAAACTCGATAGATTTTGAATTGAGGAACTTGACACAGCGACGAGAACACCATGGTCGGGTACGCCAGCCGCCGTCTGAAATGAAAAGCCTGAGCGGGTGGAATTATATGCGCTGGTGGAGCATATGAGGAGGATAATTGACCCAGCGATAAGCATTTTAGGACTGGTCTATTTGAACTAGTTCTGATGACCCAACCATATGGTTTTTCGCAGCTTTTTGAGCTTTATCTTACAACTATGCCATGCAGATGTCAGTCATCATCAAACATGTGATTGGAATAAATTACGCACCACCTGAGCTTTCCATAAAACGGGGATTTATCAATCAGCTCGTTTGATTACGCCCAAAAACTTTTTAGTGCTATTTTAATAAAATAATATGTGTTCGATAACAAAATTATTTGACCAGCAACACAGTGTCGAGTCGCACTGACTTCAATAGTAATAACAAATCCAGCATAATGAGAGATGAGGCTTTTGACTTTTCTACGCCCCTGAATGGTGAAAGAATAGTCTCAAGAAAACATATGGCGATCAGCCTATGGATTTATGCATCTGGCAAATCAATCCCGTGCTGTTATTTCATTTGGCATCTTGAGCTTTATTGTTATCGTTCAAAGTTAAATGCATTGATCGCCCGTAAGCTATGCA